AACACATTCTCCAAATACTGCAGCAACATCTACTAAAGCTGATTTTCCAGATGCTCAGAAGCCACAATCTTCTTGTAGTAGTTCTGGTAGGGGCAGACCTACCAGACGCAACAAGCGAAATTAACAGTGCAGAGCATCATTTATTCATAAATATATTCTCTTCTGATCACATACCTATCTCTTCTTTAAAACTACATTAAAGAAATAATATTGTATAGTGAAAAGCTATTACAAATATTCCAAGCAAAACTGAAAACTTATTCTCTGCTGACTGCAAGAGTCACTATTTCATTCAACTTAGAATTTACACATATCTGCAGATCATAGCTTTTACTTTATAGAAACCGTCATGTGACTTCACTTCTCGCGCTAAGGTACATGGTTGCATTTGATGTCTGCTGGAGAGCTTTTAATCAAGCTTCATAGGGAGAACAGCACTGCAGTGGACTACACTACTGACCTACTATTCACACGTTTCAACAGGACCACACATGCTGTCAGCCACAGAAGGGACATCTTCAACTGCAAAATCATTAAAGTAATAAAGGAAATAATTTACCACCTGTTTAAATGTCCTGGGGTCTGAACCCTTTTCAGTGGCAGTGTGTGAGGTTCACTACAGATACCTCAATTTCTTAATGCACAGGAACCAAGAATATGTCAACAGGTACGGTCCATAAGATGGGACATCCTCCCCACCTCCTCCACACAGACAAAAAATCCACACCTTTTCTTTTTCTTAGCTATTTAACTTTCTCAACATTAAATGGACAGATCTCTATAAATTACAAGCAGAAGCAACATAAAAAGCAAGGGGAAGAAAAGGCTGAAATGCTTGACTAGGTCTTCCCAATTGACAGCTATAAAAGCAATGACAAAGATTGTTTGTAACTTCCCCTAAATGGCATTAATCTTTCATATACTCTTCCATTCACAGCAACACAGAACCTGCTTTTTAATCTTTTTAAGGCAGAGTAGCACCCAAAGGAAAGATGACTTTAAGAATTCTCCATTAATTTGGAACAGCTGGATGTACGATCAAGAAAGAGATTGTCACTGTTGGGTGGTGAGAGGTAAACTGAGCTTGCCACTGGCATGGAACCCTTTCAGAGATTTAGCAATAGATATCCACAGAGCATTTTCTGGAATGCCAAGCTCCAAAGCCAATTCTCCTTTCTGAGTGCAGAACCGCTTACACTTACAGCCTTTCAAAAGCAGACATCATGGGTGGAAGCACAGAAATCCCACTCTGCAAGCAGTCTTTCTTCCACCCTCGTTCTCTCTCCATGCTATGTGCCATGCACCTGTGTCCCTCATTCAGAAAGCTGCTACTCATGTTTGTTTTTACACTGTTCTAATGGCAAATCCCTTCACTGATTCTTAGCAGAAGAACATTAGGGAATGTAATTGTAGTATCTGATAACCAGATTCATCTGCACAAATGAGAATGACAGACACTATTCTAGATAAAACTTTTGATACAAAAGCTCCTGATCACATCAAGCAACAACGAATTAGAGAACCTGCATCATCCTAAGCATTTTTTTAAATACAAGCCTGTCAAAATCTAAGTTTTCATTTTAAAACAGAGCAACTTTAAATGACATCCTGTAAATCTAAAGATGATCCCATCTACTGAATACATTTCCAAAAAACAAGCAAAATAAGGACCAGAGGAATTGTGAAAACAAATCGTGGTATGGTAATTGATATAAATGATAGAATTGATAAGCTGAAAGTAGGCAGCGAACACTTTAGATCGTGAAGTTACACCTTTAACATTTCTCTTTTAACTATGGTAAGTTATATAAGATCTCTAAAGATGAGAAAGAAGCTTATGAGAAGGAAGCTGACAAGCAAGGTATTGCACTTGATGTATGCAAAGAGTTAAGTTATTTTGCCTGAAACAAAAGAGCAGACAGCATTTAGCAAAGCCACGCTGGAGGTCTATTTGAAATAAACTAGTTACTGTTTCCTACCTGCATGGAGGAGCTTGTGAACACTTAATGACTACAGTAATAAGATTCCTGTTTACTCCAACTTGCAATTAATTCTTGCAAATATTAATTTCAAAACAGTTGGTGAATAGCCAAGCAATTTCCTGTGAGCACATGTAGAATACCTGCACTCCAACTCTAGGGCAGCAAGACAGCTACACAATTTCTCAGAAAAAATGAGGTAGCATCACACATTTTGTTACAATTACTTTGCTTCCCCCTCGTCACTTACGTAAGGTAGGTTCCTCGTACATTGACATCCATCATAAGATTGACCTTCTTCGTTTCTGTTTCCAAAGTGCCAGTCAAAGAGATGGCGCTTGCATTGTTCACCAAAATATCAATCCCTGGTTTTAAAATAAGCCATTTCACATTAACATTTAAACACAAAAAGCATGAGTAAGGCAGGCTGTTCTTTTCTCTTTTTGTTTGAACAATCTGCCTGTTAACATCTCCTCCACACCTTAGCATACCTCCAAAAGTCTTCACAGCTTTCTCCACGGCATGAATAATTTGCTGTTCTTCCCTCACATTAACAATGCATGGCAAAGCCTTTCCTCCAGCTGCTTCAACTGCACAATTAAAAAATTAAATATTTAAAAATCTGCTCTCAGATGGAACAAATAGCATGAGCTTACTAAGAATCTCTCATTCAATGACATGCTTCATAAAGGCACTGAAAATCACACTCGCAAATTGCAACCTTTTTATATGTTGGGTAAAGAACAGGGAAGCCAAATCCAAATACGGTACACACATATATCTTAACTAACACAGCATTTTCACATCTACACGCACACATCTTCATTACCGTAATATCTGGATGCCTCCCAGCATTCCTGGGAGGCAAGAGAAGCACTAAGCTTATTTTATTAAAGGTGAACTGGAGCTAAGAGAGCCTATGCAGTTTTCTGCTCAGGTATGACAACTAAGCTAGGGCATACACCCAGCCCAGCACCTGAAGCCCACCCTCATTTATTACAACTTACTCTCTGCTGCAGCAGTGTAGATCGTCCCTGGAAGAGTAGGATGGGGCTCAGCTGTCTTAGCAGCTATCACGATGTTCGCACCATCCTTGGCAGCTTTCAAAGCAATGGCTTTGCCAATGCCCCGGCTTGCGCCTGTGATGAAGAGAGTGCATCCTGCCAGTTTCCTGAAGGTGAAGGGGGAAGTGGAGGGTAAAGAAGAGGGACAACAAAGCAAAACCTGTAAATCATTGACTTTTAGCACTCTTTAAGGGCAAAAGTAACTAGAGCAGTATTCCAACCAGACAAAAACCTTCATCATTTTACTAAGAAAGGAGTCCCTAAATACAAAAGAAATGACTACAGCGAAGTACAGTAGCACTGAAGGTCAAGTTTGCAAATACTATAAAGTGAGAAGGTTACACAGGTCACCCAATTACATTTCTCCCTTTTTGTAAAATGACCCAACACTGTTTACAACAGACCTGCTACATTCTCCAACAACGGGAAAGGAGTAAGTTGTAAAAACAAAATGCCAGTTTCTGAGACAACACACCCATGCAGCTCTCCAATTCACTAGTCACAGACCTCTAAACACAAAAACCTGGTGTCTCAGTGTGGTATAAAGTTCAAGTCCAGAACCACAATGCCAATGAAGGGTGCCATGTGCAAGTGCCAAAAACTTGATTTTCAGAAATGGCAATTATTTCTCTTAAAGGTTTTACACTAAACTCAGCAGTTTCCCATTTAATCCAATGGGTCCCCCCGAAAGATGAGTCCAATCAAAACCTCTGGAGACGCTAACACATTTTAGGGTGTCAGAAAGATTTCTGACTTACACAAACAATGTCACTGAACTTCTGAAAAGCAAAAGATCAACTCCAGTTTAACGCATATTTGACAACAAAGCCTCTTAGATCACAGGTTTTCCACATGAAGGAATGTGCATTTCAGTGTTCTGCGTAAAGCTTGTGTGGCTTTCCGTAACTCAGTGGAAAAAAGCAAGAGGTCCAAGTTTTCCACCCCAGTTAGAGAATGCATATAAAACTATGTGCTACAGCAACTTCACTTTTCACTCGTATCACAAATGTTATACACCAGCCTGCAAGCCTGCATCTTTTCAGTCTGGGCCAAACTTGTCCTACTACTGTTTCAGAGAATCATAGAATCCTAGAATGCTTTGGGTTGGAAGGGACCTTTAGAGGTCATCTAGCCCAACCCCCCTGCAGTGAGCAGGGTGTCATCTATGCATTCCAGGAATCTCCTGGATTGCCTACAGCTCACCGTGTTGCTTTTCCAGCAAATGCTGGGGTGGTTGAAGTCCCCCAGCAGGACAAGAGTCTGCAAGCACGAAGCCTCCCAGAGCTGGAGGAAGAAGGCTTCGTCAGCAGGCTCCCCTTGGTCAGGCGGCCTGTAGTAGGCACCAAGCACAAGGTTCCCTTTGTTGCCTCTGTCTCTGATTCTTACCCATAAGCTTTCGACCTGCTCATGGCTATTCTTCAGGGACAGCTCTTCACACTGTGTTGATTTCTTC